TGAGAGAGAGAGAGAGAGAACAAAACGAACGCATCTGGAGCTTCGCTCGGGGAGTCGCTATTAAGCTGCCATTTCACGGAGCAAAGCTAAAGCTGGCGTTTACCCCCATTTTACCAAAATAACGATACAGCGAAGGTAACGCTCATAGTTGGATTTATCGCACATTTAGCGAATGCTGTGAATGCCTAACCTAATCAGTGGGTACTTGAGTAAAGACATTGTAAGTGTTAAAATAAAGTAATATAACGAGTACACAAAACAAATATCATGAATTTTTATATATTTTTAATGTTTCAGAATATGTTATGGCTGGAAGAAGGGAGAAATTGGCATTACCAAAAATATATATTCAATAATTTTGGCACCGACGCAAAGAAGAAACTGTGTCGGTCACGGCTTTTAAAAATTGGTGCTACCCAATGCTTTTTTTCTTATATTTTTTTCTTCTGCGAATGCATCACAGTAGCTGCAGCCGCGGCTATACGCTGTTTTTGTATTTCTGCAATTGCAATTGCTAATCCACATTCTTCATCCGTTTTATTTATTTGTATTCCAGTATAAACAAAACTAGAAAGCCAGCAAAAGCCAGGAATTCAACTTCACTGAAACACAACCTCAAAGTAGTGAAAAATACGCTCCATGAAAAGGCAAGAGGCATTTAGCGTTAGCTGAAGCAAAGCTGATTTGTTCGAGATGAGAACGTCTCGAATGTTCTCCCGGAAGCATTGTATCTGATTGTCGCACGCGAGACAAACAACCTCGAGGCGAAGAAAAATCCGCGATCAACAATAAACGATCTAATTGTTTACTGTAAAAGTCGATCTGCGGATGCGGTCCATCCATTGTTTCGAGCACACCACCAACCGCCAACCAGCGATCTCCGCGACGGAGATCCTTTGTCAGGCAGCGACGCGTCAATCAAGCATTGGCTAATTCTTTCGGCGAAGCGGGACATGCTTCCTACTTAAATACCCGCTTTGTGCTCCGCCGAGCGAATCGCTCAACGCTTTTCACCGGATCGCAACCGCTTATCGTTAACCCCAACAAATTAAACACGCTTTATACACGACCACTCGCTTTCTCAAATCGGACTTGAATCCATCGGACTTGATATAGACTCGCGCTTCTGAAAATTGAATACGATTAACGAACTGGATTAAATTAACATTGTGATTGAGTTGTAATCAGTGATATATTAAAGTGTTTGTGACTTATTGTAACTTGGTCTCGACTGCCTCCTTTCATTGTCGCGCTCCGCCACATGATTTGTGTTGCGATGAAGTGGGGGTAAACGCCAGCTTTAGCTTCGCTCCGTGAAATGGTAGCTCTAGTGCTAAAAGTATCAATCTATCTTTGTCGCTCATGATATGTCGAAGAAAGATAGAAGATGCTTTTCGTGTTAATAGTGCACTCCGCGAACGCACCTTTAGTTCACGTATCTTCAGCGTGACAATCCACTGTCGACCGCGACTGTCTTTTTTCGTCACAGCGAGTCGCCGACAGCACCGCGACGCGAATTGTTTGCATTTGCTGTTGTTAGTAGATGAGATTTAGCACTTTCGGCAGTCGAGTCGGCCTTCGCAATCACAGAACTCATGCTCTTAGTTTCTCACTTGTTTGGAAAACCGTCCTTCGAGAGTCCTTTCGGCAAGACGACATGTTCGCGTTCAGACGCGTTCAGACGTGCGTAGTTACATCTTGTAGAAATATACGCGTGTTATACGTGTGTGGTTATATCTCGTGGAAATAATACGTGTGTTATAGTACATGTTCAAAAGTTCCTAGTTATATCTCGTAGAAATTATACGCGAAGTACATTTAGACTTTTCGTCTTCTTTATTATCGACTTTCCGTGAATTCCTTTCCAAGTTTCACGGCCGACTCGAACCCATTTCTTGGCTTATGTGCTGTAAGCTAGTGTGGGACATATTAAATGTGATACATGAAATAAGTACATCATTTACGGGTATGTAAGTAACTTGTAATAATATATACCTTATAACGAAGAATACTGGGGCGCTATTCTATACCTACTCTATTGTCGACGATTGTCGGTGTCGTCAACGGCTCTGAGCCGCTTTTTCCCCACATATTCTACTTGCGCATCGATATCGACGTTTGTCAATATAATAATATTATTTAACATTATCTTGTTAAATTGCATATACAGGGCGAGGAAAAAGTACAGGACCGGTAAAATATCTCGAAAAATATGAGAGATACGGAAAAATGTTTCAGACAAAAGTTGTACGGTTTTAAAAGAGCTATATAATGGTAAAATTAATTTTCGAACGAAATTAATTTTTTATGATTATATGGAGGTCGCCGCCATTTTTTAAAATGGAACCCCATCTTGTTTATTATTCTATCTTATTCTACTAATTAACATAAACAACTTTTGTCTGAAACTTTTTTTATTTGCTCAATACTTTTTGAGATATTCAAGAGAAAATTTATAACTTTTTCAATGTTTAGCTTATGATATCTCGACAACTGTTTGTCAGAGGGAAAAGTAGTACAGGACTTTTTTACTTGATTTGGTCTCAGAAATATGCTGTCGCAATAGTGCTTTAATTATTGAAAATTTTGTGTATGTAACTTTTGTGGATGGTAGAATACACAAAAATTTTCCGTAATTGGAGCACTATTGCAACAGCATATTCCTGAGACCAAATCAAGTAAAAAAGTCCTGTACAACTTTTCCCTCTGTTATCGAGATATCATAAGCTAAACATTGAAAAAGTTATAAATTTTCTCTTGAATATCTCAAAAAGTATTAGGCAAATAAAAAAATGTTTCAGACAAAAGTTGTTAATATTAATTAGTAGAATAAGATAGTATAATAAACAGGATGGAGTTCCATTTAAAAAAATGGCGGCGACCTCCATATAATCATAAAAAAATAATTTTGTTTGAAAATTAATTATACCGTTATATAGCTCTTTTAAAACCGTACAACTTTTGTCTGAAACATTTTTCCGTATCTCCAATATTTTTCGAGATATTTTACCGGTCCGGTACTTTTTCCTCACCCTGTATACAAATAATAGTAATATTGGTAAATATGCAGAATAGGTCACACCTCACCGATTTCCTCGCCACTTAGATATGTTGTAGGGGAGAGTTTTCTGAGTAATTCCCCGCAAGAATCAAGTGGGGGACGGCATTGGTTTAGGAGATATAACAAATTGAAAACTAAAAATTTTAATACTTTTTCTTAGTAATTTTTATTAAAATGCCTGTGTAGCTACCTTTAAAATCATAAACAAACTACCGTTTTCATTTACAAGATCACACCTGCCCCCTCCCGCACCAATCGGTACGGGTTGAACACACACACACGCGCGCGCGCGCACGCTTAATTCTTCTCGCGGCGCAGACTGACCGAGCAAGCGAGATCCACTCTACACCTCAGACATGGTTTGGGTATGGTTAAATTTTAACGAAGTGGGCCCCCCGAAGGGGGGGCGGAACATACTGTCTCCACGCATGTACTTCCACCATTGTACTGTTCCACATGGATTTGCAACTTTCCACGTGAAGCGAGATCCACTCCACACCTTTGACATAGGGTGGGTAGGGTTATTTTTAACGAAGTGGAGCCCCCCCGAAGGGGGGGGGCGGAACATACTGTCTCCACGCATACATTTTTCTACCCACATATAAGTCACTCCCCTCCACCAAATGTAGATATAAAAATGTATGCGTGAAGACAGTGTGTTCCGCCCCCCCTTCGGGGGGGCTCCACTTCGTTAAAACTAACCCTACCCATCCTATGTCAGAGGTGTGGAGTGGATCTCGCTTCACGTGGAAAGTTGTAAACCCATGTGGAACCGTACAACGCGTGGAATTAGTTTTGCCCTCCCCCCGCCCTTGCTCTTTCCTTACCTGCGTTCAATACTGAAGGTAAATAAAAGCATTTATTGTACATAGGATGTCAGAAAATTATATTTTAGTGGTTAAACATTTTTGTTTATAACTTTTTAATAAACACCGACCGATGGCAAAAATTTCTTGAAGGTCACTCAGGGTCATGATCTTGACAACATATGTCAAGATCAGGTTCATTTGGTTGACCTTATCTAAATATTTACCAAAAAACGTATTAAAAATTTCAGTTTTCAATTTGTTATATCTCCTAAACCAATACCGTCCCCCACTTGATTCTTGCGGGGAATTACTCAGAAAACTCTCCCCTACAACATACCTAAGTGGCGAGGAAATCGGTGAGGTGTGACCTATTCTGCATATTTACCCAATAAAAGATTAACTCTGACAATGAAACTATAATGTAATAGATATTTAAAAATCTAGAAGTAATTGCAATAAAATTAAATTAAACAACAAATATACATCAATATTTAAATATAAATTAGTAACAAAGTAATCTAAGAATTAAATTAATTAAAAATTAATATAAAAAATTCTCTTGTAATATTATACAGGGTGTCTGATGCAAAAGTAGCCAACTTGAAAATAGTGGTAGAATGGGTTAAACTAAGGAGAAATATGTGCCGCGGTACAAAAGTAACAATAGTTATCGAGTAATTAATTTACACGTCTGAGCGAATGAGGATGCAGGAGACGGTAGGCCGGACTCGGAAGGCATTTAAGAAAATCGATCGATGAGCGGGAGGTGGAGCGACGCGCGAGATACTATGTTTATGTTTCGGGTCGCCCGTCGCTCGCGCTCGCTGCCGCGCTCGCCGCCCGCGCCGCG